TCTGTTCCATTAACCCTCAGTGATTCTTAGGCTTTTACTGGAGTGTAAAATCTACTATTTGTCATTTATTTCCCTGTTTGCGTCCCTGTTCTCTCAATTTTTCAGCTGTTGAAAAGGGCAACCCTCAGGCTAGAAACAGTGGTTGCGTCATCCTTTGAATCTTGAGAGTAGGGGCTGAGCACTTAAGTTTTATTTGTTCCCTACCATAATGCCCAGACCCTGGCATATCTCTCAACAATTTATTGTTGCCTCTCAACAATTTATTCATTGATGTCTCTCAACAATTTATTCATTGAGTTAATGATTGAGGCATACCATAGCCGATAAGTGAAAGTACACGTTGCTCAGTTGTGTCTGACTCTTTGCGACCCCATGGACTATACAGTCCATGGAATTCTCCAGGCCAGAATACTGGAATGGGTAGCCTATCCCTTCTCCAGGGGATCTTCCTAACCCTGGGATCGAACCCAGGTCTCCTGCATTGCAGGTGGATTGTTTACCAGCTGAGCCACCAGGGAAGCCCATAGCCAACAAACCAATAGTTTACTAAATATTTGTTTGACATTTAATCAGGGCTATTGCCTTGGGCTTCCCAGGTGTCTCAGTGGTAAAGAATGTGCCTGCCAATGCAGGAGATGCAGGTTCAATCCCTGGTTTGGGAAGATCCCCTGGAGAAGGAAATGGCAACCCACTCTATTGCCTGAGAAATCCCATGGACAGAGGAGCCTGGTGGATTATAGTTCATGAGGTCACAAAAGACTTGGACACAACTTAGCGACTAAAACAACAACAATTGTCTCAAACCCTTGTAAACATGCACACATTCACACATACTCCTTACACACCAGCCCTGCAAGTGGGAAAACCCACAGTCATCAGTTCTCAAAATACAACCCAGGGATCACTGCTGGGCATACAGATCTGCACACATCCATCTATGGAAGAAGGTAGATTAGAAGCAAGTTCAGGGAGTGGAGAGCAGACTTTCTAAACAGCTCTTCTAAGGTTCTTACCCCAGTTTTCCTGCAGTCTGAGATGGGTGAGCTCTCAATTCAGCCATAACCAAAAGATAAGCATTTTGGGCCAGCAAGAGATACTATTGTAAGTTGCCAACCCATGTCATAGAAAACTAAGGGAAAGTACATATTTGAGACTAAGCCTTTCTAACTTTTTTTTACTCCCCAATAAACTCAAGAATGCTTTGCTTTTTATATTATTCTGGAGACTTGCAATATATCCCTTCATAATTTATAGTAGGGGGTCTCTAAGAGCCTGTTGATTCTTTCCCCAGGTCCCTGCTTTTTTTTTTTTTTTTTTTTTGTGGTAGGCTGCGGTTTAGATGTTTCAGTCTCTCTTAGGACTGTCTTCTTGGGAGGTAAGCGCAGCCAGGGGTCTTTAACACAGATAAAGGGTGTGTTGATGGGGTTGATCATCTGCAGATCAGCCCTAAAGACCAATTTACACTTAACTAATCACCAGTGTAGCTGGCACATACTGACCTAAGGATAGTTCTTACAGCCAGAGAGGTGCCAAACTCTTCAGATTCTGATTCAGTGGTCCTGGGAGCTTTGGCAATATGTTTCAAATTGGGCGGTTTTGAAAGTTGAGAGGCTGACAGAAGAAAAAGAGAAGGGTTGTCAAGGTTGGGATTTAAAATAGTGGGCTATCCATGATATATATAATTTTTTAAAAATAGCAATAAAAAGAAACTTGGATAGTGTGTTCTTTCCAAAGCAGTTTACTGCATCCTAAACCAGTGACTCCTTTAGCTACCAGTGCTTGCCAAACTTAGTGATTTCAAATGACTTCATTCATGTTAACACAGCATCTATGTGGCAGGAGTAACTTTATAGGACATTTTTATAATTTGTGATGATCTTTTTTAAGGCGGAATCTTGCAATTATCTCTTTTGCCTCAGGGAAAAAAGAGCTTTTCCTCCCATGTCTTGCTATAATGACAAAATTATTTTGCTGTAAAGAAAGAAAATGAGGGGAAGACAGGAAAAATATAAAGGGAGATGAAAACTGTTCCAGGAAAGAGCAAATAAAATTATTAAAGGGATGTGGAGGCTGGGAAAGAATTTGGAAATAGACTAAAAGATTCACTTGTTTTCCATCAAGAAAGATGAGAAGTCATTGGACCTTAAGTTAAATAAATCACACAAGTAAAGGTGTATGGTCATATATTTACCAACTCCTAGAGTATTTGGAAAAGATACTTTTAAAAAAAGAATGCACTGTTTTTCAGATTAGTACATACTTGAGGGTCTCAGAATCCAAAAAAAATGACCTTGGTGCAAATATGATTTAAATGGGAAATCCAGGATGGCAAATACATAGTATATATGTCACTATGCCCATCCATTTCTGTACCCATGACAGACATTATTAATTGATCACACTGCTGTTTCCAACTTAACTAGATATATTCACCTTTGGAATTCCGTTCAGCACAGGGTGACAGAAAGTCAGTTAGCTAGAGATGACCCTTAAGATGAACCCATTTTGCTACCTATGATTTAGTTTACTACACAAAGTGTGAGCTCCAGATCACCAGCATGGGTGTCACATGGGAGCTTATTCTGAAATCAGAATCTCAGTCCCATTCCAGACCTACTGAATGAAATCTGTATTTTAGCAAGATCTCCAGTAATTCTTATGTATATTAAGGTATATTACATATATTAAGCAGAGATATCACTTTGCCAACAAAGGTCCTATAGTCAAAGCTATGGGTTTTCCAGTAGTCATATGGATGTGGGAGCTGGACCATAAAGAAGGCTGAGTGCTGAAAAATTGATGCTTTCAAATTGTGGTGCTGGAGAAGACTCTTCAGTGTTCCTTGGACTGCAGGGAGATCAAACCAGTCAATGCTGAAGGAAATCAACCCTGAATATTCACTAGAAGGACTGATGCTAAAACTGAAACTCCAATACTTTGGCCACCTGATGTGAAGAGCCAACTCACTGGAAAAGACCCTGATGCTGGGAAAGGCTGAAGGTAAGAGGAGAAGGGGACGACAGATGATGAGATTGTTGGATGGCATCACTGACTCGATGGACATGAGTTTGAGCAAACTCTGGAAGATGGTGAAGGACAGGGAAGCCTGACAAGCTGCAGTCCATGGGATCACAAAGAGTTTGACTCAACTTAGTGACTGAACAACAACAATATATTAAAGTTTAAGCAGCCCTGAAAGAGCACTGAATGCCTGATGCATTCACCAGAATCACTTGGTTAAACACTTGGTAAACCTAGATCCTTGGGCCCCAACTTCAGGACTTTTGGTTTATCAGATCTGGGGTGGGGCTTATCAAACAAGCTTCCAGGTGTTGATGCTGCTGGTGGTGATCTGGGGACCACATTTTGAGAAAAACTACATTAAGGCCATGGAAATACTTTGGAATATCTCCATAATCTTTAAAGTCAAAGATTGCAATATATTTCCATAACTCTTGCTACATCTGGCAGAACCAGAATTCTGGATAGGAGAGGCTCCAAGTTTTAACAGAGCATAGCATCTCTGTGACTTTATGTACCTGGATCTAAAGGCTCTCCCTCTGGTTAATTGCCACTGGCATCATGCACTCATCTATCCGATAACAATCTGGGTAGCTATTCTGTCCACAGCATTATACTCAATGCTGAGAGAATCTAATGCAGGTTAAAAACACATTCCTGACTTCAAGAGGCCTTCTCTTTAAGAAGAAAATAAACATGAAACAATAAACAGCAAGGTAGCATCAGATAGAAAAGGGCTGAGTGCTAAGTAAGTGACACGGCAGACTACGTGTAATTTAGAGGGAGGAATACCTGGAATTGCATACAAGACTGTGTGCAGTTCAGCCTAATTAGAGAAGAAAGTTGCTGCATAGAATGGATGGAGATAAGATGGGAGAGGGAGCAGGCCAGGGTTAAGAGGCACCTTCTTATTTCTTCATACTGTTTTAAGATACTATCTTAAAACTTTGAAGTTTCCTACTATCAGGATAACAACAAATCAATGCTATCAACATTGAAAATTAGGCTACAAGGTGGGCATACTGAGAAAAACCTGTATCTCAGAGACAGAGAAGTGAAACAACTTTACGTAGAGATGACTGGAGGGTGGCGTGGGGGATGCGAGTAGCAGTAATTTAATAATAGGGATAATAATACCTAACTTCTACCGGTCTTTCACATTGCCAAAGTACCCGTGCTACAAGACTGTAATGAACTATCTCATTTATCCAAACAATAGCAACCCCCCTCGTCAGCACCCCCTCCTTACTCCCAGTAAGAACCGAAGCTTTGTAAGGATGTATCTAAGTCAAAAAACCTCCCCGATTTAAATCCAGGAAGTTCTATGGAGGCGGGGGGCGGGGGGGTGTCCCTCATCTACGAATCGTGAGGGGTCTGGCCTGCCTGTGCCATCTCTTCCAGCTCTCTGCGAAGAACCCACAGAGCACCTGGGACAGGAGAGAAATCCTCGAGCGAATTGAAGTCGAGGAAGCTGTAGGGTCAGTGCGTCTGAGGCGCAGACAGGGACGGGCTCCTATCTGAAACGCAGCAAGATTTTACCCCGAGCCCGGCCGGAGTCCTGGAGCTTCTCCGGGCTTCCTCCGGCCACTCTAATTACAGTATGTGGTAGGTTGCGAGGAGGAACCGTCTGAGGTCGGCAGGCTTCGCGGGGGTATTGTATTTGCCTATAAATACTTCACATAGTTAAGTGAAATGTGCAGCCTTTGAAAGCTGGAGAGGAAGCCATTCGGAGGCCCCCCGGCCCGCCTGGAGGAGCTGGCAGAAAAGAGAAGAAATGGCTGGCGCGTCCTTCACGCGGGAGCCTAAGGAACCGCCCTGCCCAGACCAGATGGGGGGCCGCGGGGCTGCAGGCGCGACTCCGGAAGCCTCAGACCGTTAAGGTGACCAGAACAATTTAAAAAAGGAAACAAACTTCCCCGGAGCCTTCCCCGCGGGGCCCCGAGGCGGGCGCTTGCGTTCGAAACGGCATTTTTCAAAAGGATTTCAGGACGCGGGGGGTGTGGGCCCGCGGGGGAGCGCGCGGCCAGAGCCGCGCTGCAGAGCTGCCACCAGCCCGCTTTGTACTTGCGGCCAAGCGCGGCCCCAGAGTTTCGGCGGCGGCCAGGGGAGTTGAGGCCACGCCCCCTTTGCAGGGAGAGCCGCGGCCGCCGATTGGCCCGCCGCCGACCAATCGGCGCGTTGAGGTGGCCCGGGCTGTCAGCGCGCGCCGCAGCCGCGCGGGTCGCAGCCTGTCCTCCCCTGCGCGGAGCCCCGCAGCCAGCGCAGCCTTCCCGGGAAGCGCGGCTGCCGCTCTCGAGCGCTGCCTTGCCCTGCCCTGCCCAGCCCAGCCCGCCAGCCGCGCGTCCGGGTGCCCGCGCCCCGCGGCCACAGCCTTGCTGCGCTATAGCGCACGGAGCATGTGCAGACCCTCAGGCGCCGAAGTGCTCTCTGCCCCGGGGGGCTTCTGGTAGCGGTGACTGACTGTCACACCTAAAGAGACCTTTCGGGGGCTCTCGTCGCTCCTCTGCGTCGCGGGGAGACACTGCGGTGCTTGCGACTAGAGCGACAGCTGCCTCTCGCTGAAGACGTCTTGGGCTGCGTGCGCCCTCCCTCTCTTCCTCGTATCGCTCCTTCCCTCCCCTTCGCTATTGCTAGCCCCTTAGCTCGCCGGCTCACACCCGCAGCCTCCCCGGAGCGGGAGGCGTGGGTCCCCGCCACCCCTCTTCGAGCGGGGCCTCCTCACTTCGGAGATGCAATGACAAGTTAATATGGGCGTCCAAGCCTCGGGGTCCCAGGAGGAGAATCGCAAGAGGCAACAGCTCCCGAGCACCCAGAATCCTTGAACAGGCCACCCAGGAGGGGCGTGAAACCCGGCGGCAGCATCCGTCCAGGTGGGACCCGCTGAGCGCAGCGCGATCAGTCCTCCGCTCGGTTCCCGCACCGCGAAGGCCAGCTCGCCCGATTGCTCCGAGATCCCCGACCCGGGGATTTTTTTTTTCCTTTTTTTTCTTTCCCTCGGCTGGTGGTGGGCGCCTCTCGGGCCGAAGCCCGGCGCCTGCTCTGCTGCCCGCGCTGCCTTTAGCGGTCGCCTCCGCCGCCGCTTCCAGGGACGTGCTGGGAAAGCCGAAGCCCCGGGAGAAGATGCCGGCCATCCTGGTGGCCTCCAAAATGAAGTCGGGACTGCCCAAACCCGTGCACAGCGCCGCGCCCATCCTGCACGTGCCCCCAGCCCGGGCGGGCCCCCAGCCTTGCTATCTCAAGTTGGGAAGCAAGGTGGAGGTGAGCAAGACCGCCTACCCTAGCCAGATCCCCCTGAAATCTCAGGGGCTGCAGGAACCGGCGGGGGAGGGGCTCCCTCTGCGGATGAGCGGCTCGGTGGAAAACGGGTTCGATACCCAGGTGAGAGGTGCTGTGTGCCGGGGGCACTGTTCTGATGGGAAGGGTGAATACTTTTTTGAGGGTGGAGGTTGACACGGCTGGAGAGGGGAAAGTGCTACCCTGTGGGCTGAGAAGGGGACCGTTCCACTTAGGCCAGCAGATTGGGGGTTGCGCTCGGAGAGTGGGCTGGCCAGTGGGTGTGGCCCGGCTGACCGAGGTTTGCCTTAAGGAGCTCTGCGAGATTGGGCTGCGGGCTGCCTGCGGCTTCCTTCTGGGGGCGCGGTGGGGTGGGGCACGATCAGGGTGTCCTCAACAAACCATGTGCCACACTGGAAATGTCAGGTTCTGCATGTCGAGGGGCTTGGCCCCAAGAAGACAGTGTCTGCTGCAGCGACTGTGTGTCTGTCTGTCGGTTCTGCAGGGATTCTGTCCGTGCCAAGGAATTGTCCAAGACCTCGTTGGGCTCCACGCCCCTCTGGCCTGGCTGCAAGATCCAGGAAGAGAGGGCTAGGGGTGGCAGTGTACCTGCTCCCCTGGGCTTGGAGATACCCGGGCCTGCCCCATCCTTTGGGCTGACAGCATGCCAGGCACGGTGCTGGGACTGCAGTAGGAGTGCCCTGTGCGCCGACGGAGGCAGGCAACTGGAGACTCCTAGCGTCTCGGCTGGCTGTAGCGATGGGGCGGGGGTGGCTGCCTCGGAATGGCGGCCCGAAGCTAAGCCCCTCCTTCCTGGGTAGTAGATCCCGGTGCCGGTAGCCCGGGTGACGGGGATGCGGGTGTCGGGGTGGCTTGAAAAGAACTGATGACTTCTACCTTTCCAGAGCGAGCTCGCATCACCCCATTCGGCTGGGTGACAGGCCCTAGCCATGCCATCTCTTTTAAGGAAATCAGCAAAGGCCAATCCGGTTCTCCTGGCTTCCTGCCCTCGCTGCTCCTCCCCCCCCCCCCGCCCCCCCCTCCTGGTAGGAGGGAGCACGGGCATGCTGTATTTTCTTGGCAGTTAGTCAGCAGGGACTTTTGGGGACAGGCCGACCTGACGGATGTGACTGTCCCAGTCAGGAGAGGCGGAAAGCCAGCGGGGGAGGTAGTGTGGGGCTGGTGTCAGGGAAGTGGCAACAGACCAGCTGACCTTTTTGGCACTTAATCTCTGCTGACCCTGTCTCCACCTTCTCCGAGAGCTTTCTCTGATCAGAGGCTAGAACTCAACACATTCCTAGCCTTTCTGATGGAGGAACTGAAGCTGGAAGCTAATTGTAAGCAGACTTTTGGAACTCTGGGCTGGAGAAGGCCCTCAAAGCAGATTACGTTCCCACACCAGGCTGATAAGCGTGCCCCTTGCTGCTGCACTTGCTAAACATTTTTGGAAGCTGACAGCTTTGAGTGATGGCGTGTGGGAGGAAGGCAAGATTTCCCCCCATGCTCCTGGGCCTGTCTCTGCTATAGGGTTCTGTGCTCTGAGCTCTTTTTCTGCCATTCATCACAGGATTTGTTCAGTGGTCTCTGAAACAGGAGTGAGCCTGGGGGGTGCGCTCTTGTGAGGGTGTCCCCTCCATCCTTGGACTGGGGGCTGATGGGGCGTGGTGGGGTGCGATGGAGTGAAGGCAGGAGGCCAGAGCCGTGACTCGGGATGTGACACACACCCTCCAGCCTGATGAGGAGGGCCCGAGGAATGAGGGCAAAGTGGACTCTGTGATCATTGCGACCAGGCAGCTGTCCTACCGCTGTCCATTTGACCTTTCACTTAACACACAGGGTTGGAGGGCTTTCGATGGGCAGGCTCCAAAAAGGTGATTCATCACCCTCTTTCCTGGAAAAATGATCTTCAGCTGCTGCCAGAGGGGCTTGTGTGGTCCGGTTCCCTCAAGGCTTTCCTTCTCTCCCCCACCCTCGGCCCCCAGTCCCTTGTCTGCCCCCACCCCGCCTCCCTTGCCCTCAAGAGGGCCCTGTGTACTGACCAGGAGGGGGGTCTGGATGGACTTTCCAGTGGGCTACCTGGTTTTGACAGCCTGCCTTTTTTTTTTTTCTCCTACATTCATGGCCAGGCTTCCTGGCAGTTCTTCTTTGTGGCAGGTGCAGATCCTTGTTCTCATGGCCTCGCCCTGGCATCAGAGAATCATTGGCAAAAGGGGTTTTCCTCTTTGGACAAGTCTTCTCCCTCTGGGCGTGACACCGTGCATGTGCAACATCCAGGAAAGCCTGTCCATGCAGCTCGAGGACAGGGTCAGGCTTGGTAGTCCCAGATTCAAAACCTGATATTTGTCACTAGAAGATGCTCTGGGGATGAGAGTTAAGTGGCAAATTATATCTTGGGGCATTTGACTCCCTTTTTTACTCAGGGGCTTTTATTAGGCTGGGCTGTGCAGTGGTCAGTAGCACAGGCTTTAAAGTCAGGTGGATAGCCCAGGTGTCCTGCCTCTACCATGTACAAGCTGGTGACCTAGTCCATTAACCTCTCTGGGCCTCAGTGTTCCCATCTGTAACAATGGGCATTTAACAACCACACAAATTGTGAGAGGCTTAAGAAAAATAACATTTGTAAAGTGTCATATACACCTGTCTGTATATACACATAAACATACATCACAGATACATATTTATATACATATATAAGTAAGATATGTAAAGCCCAGTGTCTGGCAAATAGGCAACACTGAATAAAATGAGCCATTTATATTGCTAAACCAAGAGATGGGGTATTGTTGAACATAGATCTAATAGCCTCTCAGTGAGAAAAGGCGTAACTTACTCTGTCAAACCCTTGAGAAGGTATCATTCAGTTCACAAGGGTTCACAGAACATCTGTCACATACCTAATGCAGTGCCAGGCATGGTGGAAAGATGAGGGAAGTGCCTGACGTGCCAGACTGTCTTGTATGATCTTGTTTCATCCTCACAGTAACACTGAAAGCAGATATGACTTCCTGTGACAATAATTTCGTATAACATCTTCTTCAATGACAGTAATAATGGCAAGTCATCACATAGCACTTCCGACGTGCCAGGAATTATTCTAAAAGACCTCATTTGATTCTTACAACAATCCAATGAGATATGTGTTATTATTCTCATTTTACACTTGGGAAACTGAGGCAAAGACTGGGTTAGTGACCCCATGAATAGCAGGAGTAGAATTAGAACTTGGACAGCCTGGTTCTGGTCTCCCTGTTCTTAACCAGCATGCTATAGAGAGAAGATCATAGGGACTTTCCTGTTACTCACGGGCCCTGACTTATGAGACCACTGCTGTAGCCACTGAACTGGATGAGTAAACAGGACTCGGCAAGGTTGAGTGACCCTCTCCAGGTCATCCTGCTCCAGGGTGGCAAGTAGGGAGTCCAGCTCCGGGTGGTCTGGCTTGCAGGGTGGTGGTCTTCCCCGTCTTCATAGCTGCCTCTCTCTTTCATGTTCTGGTGGAGGTACAGGGTACATTAGACATGGTCTGGGCCTTGGAGGTCTTACAATCTAGGTGGGAGGCATAACTGATGCACTGAAGACATCAGGGCACAACACATAAAGGGCTGAGAGGGCTATTTGGGGCTGGAAGGAAGGAAAAGGCCACTATGGCTGGAGAAGTCCAGAGAGCCTCACAGAGGGGGCTGGAGATGGTGGGTTCCAGAGATGGGCAGGCATAGCTGGGTGGAGAGGAGAGGGGGTGAGATGAACGTGTGGGGAAGGGGGAGGGGCAGGGCATGCAGTGGTGCAGAGCAGGAGTGGGTGTAGCCACAGGGAAGCCACAACTTCACACAGCAGGTGATGACTTCGTATTTATTATCTTCCTTTCGAAAGGTGAGCATGAGCAAAGAACAAAGGCTTCTCGCAGCTGAAAAATTGGAATTGCCTGTTGCCTTCCTGGTAGATAGCAATCCTGAGCATGCGGGTAGTTATGGAGAGATGGTGTCCATAAAAGAGCTGGCTCATAGCAGACCCTTGGGAAATGACAGTGATTATTATTATTAGCTTAAGGTTCAGAATCTCCGACATGGTGTGATATGGGGAAAGGAGACAGTTCTCATGGCTTATATTAGGCAGCAACTTATTTCAGCCAGTGATGGCCCATTCTCCCCCAAGCCTGTTCTCCATCTCCATCAAGTGTGAAAAGACCTGATGTAGCCAGCAACTAGCTTTTAGGTGCAGCGCCACTGTCAGCTCGCCAAGCCCCTCACCTTGAATCTCTCCTGCAAACCTATAGCTGGGGCTTGACCCCCAGAGAGAGGAACTGTTCTGCAGCCGCATATCCCTCCCAGGTCCCCCTCCTGGTGCTGGGATACCTGGGCCTCCCCCCAGGAATGAACATTTATAGCATCTGCTCTGTTAACATGGCGTATAAATTATGACCATGTGCAAAGAATTGTTCTAGAGACCTGCTCTGTGTTAGTTAAGAAACCCTGTCCGACCGGCCTTCAGATAAGGAATGCTCATGAGCTATTTGAGGAGAGGTTAGCCTATTTTTAAGAAGCAGTTGCAGAGAGAAAAAAAAAAAATATATATATATATATATATATATTTATGTAATACTTTGATATTTCCTGTTTTTAGGAGCCTGGTGTTCAACTTGCAGCTCACTTCTTTAAAAAAGTAATTAGAAGTGATGGAAATCCTCTGTGGGTGTTTTAGATGTGTTTTTTTTTTTTTTAAAAAGCACAGACGAGGCCCCCTGGGAAGAGAATGCAGCTTCAAGCTTGCAACCTGTTGCAACTTTGCCCCATTGTGTTTTGATTAGAATCCTTGCTCCATCATCAAAGTTGATTATGGATTTGATTAGTGCATTTTTCTGCTATTGTGTTATTCCCTTTCTTCTCTTCCTCAGTTCTTGGAGGAGAATGTGTAGTATGGTTATCTGCCAACATGCAAGAATGTTTATAGTTCACGTATTATTGCTTATTTCATGGGTTAATTTTCTGAAAACACTTTAAGGGTGGGACTGGTGGCTCATTTAGAGTATCATTACGTGTGTATATATATGTGTGTATAAATACATCAACTTCTGGATATGTGTATATACACAAATACACACACATATA